CCACCAGTGTGGAGCGAGACTCCCCGGTCTCCGCTTCCCGATTCCTAGCGTTCCTAGACAAGCCCGGTTGGTTTACTTTGGACATCTTTATTAAAGACGACAAGATGTATAGGGAAAATACAATATTCAAGAAGGAGGGGAGCCGCAGTCACTAGGTAAGGGAGAGGGCGATCCAGTTACCAGGTTCGAATTTCCTTCTTGCCTCCTCCCTGAAAGGCAAATTCAAACAACATAAGTATTACAAATAGTAATAGAATTTGAAGTAAAGTTAAAACAGTCTTTGATTCATAAACAAAAAATGGTGACTGCGAAATTGGTTTGAACTAACAAAGTGAGCCTATCTTCAGCATATTGATCCCAATGTATTATGGCGTGAATCATTATTTTGGAGGGGACATTTTGCTTTGTTTTACTACCGTTTGCTAAAAGTGCTCTGTCGTTTTCCCGGTTTTGAGATAGCCAATGTCAGTGATTTTAAATGCAGCAGTGTTTGATTTCTGCAATAAATAGTTTGCAATATCATGGCAGCAGCAGTTCTTCACGTGGACCTTTCAAATTCTTCTGTATAAGGAAGAGATCCAAAATGAACTTTAAAATGCCTAACAGCGACTGAATAAGGTCGGTCTCCTTGATGCACCTACTCCTTGTCAATCTCATTCAAAATTCAGCTTTTCTACCGATAGATCGGTGGGTTCAACAATGAGAGGACGCTTGTAATCATCCGTATGTTAGTGATTCTGGCAATGTAGCAGAGAAGGCGCGGTTTCGTGCTGTGATATGTTTGTAGATATGGCCCTATTATTCAGATTTGTCACGCTTCTAATCTAACCAACAGTATAACCACAACTTCTTCGTTGTGGCTGACAGTCTTAGGCCTTTAGAAGTCAAGTGAGTTTTGACGAGTGCTTAGGGGGAAATACCACTTTGAGAAATGCACTGTTTGATAAATTTGTAAGAGTCCGTTATGGCTGAAACCAAGATTCACCCCATGTCTATTGCGCTTCTATGCGATTAAGTGTATATAGCATTATTAGATACCCAAGTATTGCATACGACCAGAATCCGTTGCTTACAATGCCATGGTTCCTAACTGAGGAATGTTTGCTCCTGCTAACTGACGATTCCTCTTAAATTCATTTATTTATATGGCTCTATCCATAGTTACCTCATTACTTAATTCATTGCTTTGTGAAGTTTTAGCACGCATTAATGTCAATCAACTCCCTTTCCACTATAAATACCTCGGGGGAGCGAAGTAGCCGAATGATTTCAAATGCCAATGCAAAGTAAGATTTTAAGGGGTTGCCAAAGGTGCAGTAAATTTTAGCCATAATCGACCAAAAATCGCACTGAGTAAAAGAAAAACAGAGTGACCCTGCAAGCGCACTTTTATTCAAATTTGAATCAACAGGAATGTAAGATAGCCAGAATGCATATTGTGCGAGGTTCGTACTAACAATTTACAATTTTTATCGTAAAGGGCCATCTGATGTAAAACCGAAAAATCATTTTGAAGCATAGTAAAACCTACGACCAGCTTTAGGGATATCAGTAGGATAAAAAAATGCAAATTACGCGAAATAGTTGCGACAACACTTGGTTAAGAAAGCATACTGCATCATACAGGAACTTCTTCCCATTGTGTTCTGTAAACGTGTCGAGTGAGAGGCAGTTACTTCGTTCCACTTCCTTACCCACTTACAACTGTTGCGAATGTTTAGATTTTGCTAAATTTTGGGTAAATATAAAATGTATACAGCTTTGGTTCAGGGAGGAGTAGCATAGTTTGCTGTGCTTCCTCATCGATAAGATGCATTCCCCGAAAAGGCACCGTATTTGGGCAATCAAAAGCAGTTCCAAAATGCGCATGCGAGTGAAGTGCCAGGCATCAGCGTAGACGAATCAGTGAACAGCACGGTTCTTTCTTATTTCTAATTTTCTCGAAACATAAATTGCAAAATGCCAAATCGAATGAAGTTTTTTAAGCAATGCTCGTGGTTTCCCCGTACCAATAAAATGGAAGATGAACCTTCATCATAGCTTTAGCCAGATTTTAAGTAATTTTGCACTAAACCAAATCGGCACGGAACTGAAAAACTTACCCAAATATTTCTGGGGGTGTTAATTTGAAAAAGGTAATTATATAGCAGCCTGAATAATTTGAATACCATTGAATGAATGGACAAAGCTCATATAAATAACATGACGAACAAATCATGAGCCTGTTGGCCAGCTAAACACATACCTTAATATCCTCCTGGATTTCTGCCAGGGTTCTTTAAAGCTACTTTTATCGTCATTCCCAATCCATGGATATTTTGTTAAAACAGTATCGAAAACTTCTTAGAACTAGGGGTATTCAATGGATGTGCAAAAATCCCAGGATTCCTGTTGTGCCATTCATTTGAATAGACCGAGTGGTGGAGTAAGGTGGGATAGGTCGTGAATTTACGCTAAACTGTAATGGGCGGTGGCGTGGTGAGTAGCAGGCTGAATCGCCATCACCACCCCCTTATCGTGCCGCGTCGCTTGACCTGGAGGCCTGGCATTTTCATGGCCGGTGTCACACGAGTTAATATCAGAGATGGGGAGAACGACAACGATGCTCCAAACAATTTATTGTTTGATTGTGGTGAGAGCGCGAAGGTCATCAGAGGCCGCAAGGCAGCATGACCCAAGTAGTGCATGTGCGCGCATGCATGTGCGCATGCGATCGTTGATAGCATCAAAAACCATGACGTGCGTAAGCAACACATTAATGCATGGGGAAGATTGGACATCGAAGAAAACTACATTCTTGCAGTAGGAAGTGACTACAAGGCTGTACGCTAGCTCTCCTTTATCGAATAAACTCTTAGTGAACATATTAAATTGTACTTGATCTAAAGTTATTCCACTTGCAGCCGTGGGTGGACGTGTGGCACATGCAGGATTTCCTACTTTCCATCATGAGTTTAAAGTGGATCAGGTATTCGACTGCAATACAACTAATAAACCTACAATAATATTATAATATCTATTCCATACATCCTAGTTTTGCCAAAATGAAAGCGACCTTATTTGTGGAAATCAAACATACTTCCTGTTTATTTTAATTCATTGCTGAAAAAGACCCGCTTCTGTCAAGTTTAAAATCTAATACATCATTTGACAAAATCCCGGATTGTTGGTTTCATTGCGAAAAAAGGGATTACACCATTTTGATTTCGTAACTGAAGTTTCGGGTAACAAAACCTCCAAATTTGTTACCAAAACGGTGCGTTTATGTTGTGTCTCGACAGGTAAAAATCAGGCAACCAGTCTCGTAAATTCGTGCAGGTACCTTGTTATATAGCTGAGACACATTTAGATTGACCCACAGCGAAAAACATGCGGACAGATCCATGCATTTGCGAATGATGCCACTCAAAAGTTTGAACTCATAACAGCTACACGAGCTGGCCACGTCCTGTATTCGTAGTTCTCGTTTTCCTAGCGTAATGCTGAGTAATAACGAGAGCACAAAATTTGGACTCCAATTCTTGATTAAATGAAAGTATAGTGCTCTTGCGGCATACATTCCCAAACGCTAACGCTTTCTCAACTGGCACATCCCAATGAATGGCGCATGTAAAATATAATCTCGAGGCTAAATACCACTGGTGGAACGGGTCAGTTGCACTTTTGTGAGGCTCCATGTTTTGCGATAAAATTTAAAGCGGAGCTTTTTCACGAAGTTGCACACGAGGTGAAAAATTTTCACTGAATACACACGAATATGCCCCGAGGGGGAGGCAATTTAACACTACTAAAACAGCGGTCATGTAAAACCGCACACATCTGAGGCGATAAACCGACATCACATGTCACATATTCGGAGGCCGTATAAAACTAAAGGAGGTTTACGTAAAATGTCACCTTTCGGTTCTTTGCTTTCACCTGAAAATGCTCCCAGTTAGGATCCTCGGTTCTCGATACCGGATTTTCGTGAACTTTAATCACAATAAATTTAAATTACTCCAATGAGCTTTCTTATAAGTTGCTAACAAAGAGTGTGTAGAAGTGGAACTGTGCGCTATTCATTAAAAAAATGAGTAAATTTCACTATTTAAAGAATTGACGGCTAAAAGACAGTCCCCTCAAATGGGTCACCTTAAGGCTAGGGAAAGCGAAGTGTCAAATTCCTACTGATTTTTAAAACAGAAAGTGCTCAAGGTTCCACTTGTCCTCAACTCAGGGTATTAAGTGCGGAGTGTAATCTGGTGGATGTCCTGCATTTGGTAAAACTGCAGTTACCATTCAATGAAACTAAAATTAGAATCAAATTAGCATCATTCAAAAACACCGAAATAGCGCATTTCGCAAACATCGATGAAAAAAATGCAAGAATATCAAAATTAGCATATTTTAATTTACTTTAAATTCGTAAAATCGGTTCCGGCTTTGAGCACTTACTAGTCTGCTGGATCATTCTGTTATGCTACCCATAAGTTTCCGAAAAATTACAGCATGTTTACGAAGTAAAATTGAAGGAAGACGTGTCATTAGCTCCTCAAGTTTGGTAGAAAGATATCTAAAATACCCCCAAGAAAAAAATGACGTTTACTGAAAAAAGGCAAGCACAAAGTTGCACGTGTTTGCATTTCTTTGGCCAGATGGGTGGAGGCGGAGTTATCGTGCTCCGTTCCCTTGGAAAAGCAGAACAAAGCGAAGATACAGGGTTTTTTTAAAGTGAAATATCCTCGAGGAGGGAACTCTGCCGATAAATATGTACAAGCAGTAAATCAAAAGAAAAGGCAGCAAAGAGGAAATCAGAATTTTCTAACACACTTATTTTTTATATGATTTTTGCTATCTATCTTACAAATGCAGTAATTTCGAAGCTGAATTTCTTGGAAAATCTGTTATTAGTTTCATCAGATGGTGAAAGAAATTGATAAGCAAGGTCGAGTGTGAAATCAATTAAGATAACCTATTTTAAACTATTTATTAAGATGTAATTAACAATATTTTGTAGTTTTTTTAACTACATACCTGTTTAAATATACACTGCAACTTTATGTTTAACAGAAAGAGGAGGTGGACGAAGCCGGAAGCTGTGAAGCAGTAGTGGATTATCCGTCAGGTAGATGTTGGGCATTGGCCTCTCTTTGGTTATCTCATTGCCTAAACATGTATCTCATCTTAGCGTCTGCTCACTTAATGCCCATTTATCAAGTCCCGAAAAATCGGAAGATGGCGTGTTGTTTCGGCAGTGACCTTTTACTGTCAGACATTTAAGATAGGGCGCTGGATCTGATTTATGCCGAGTTCAACCAATTGCTGGACAGCAGATTAAGTTGAAGAAGGTTTGTAATGAATCGGGTGCCTATTTACTGCCCATGAAAATGTTGTCGTTTCACATTATTTATCTACCAGACACTACAAACGCATTTTCGTTTCTGATTATCTACTTTGGTGTTCACTAAAACAAAGATGAAATTAATGTAAATTGCCATGCCTCCTTGCAGGATTGTAAGCAGGAAAATTTGCCTCCTGAATGTCTGCACAATCATCTTCTACCCGGAACATCACTGCCATGTCTTGTGTGGGGAAACAACGGCTGTCTGATTATCTGCAGAAGTGTGTACTAATATTTACAATGAACACTTTGCCTTTCAAAGACAGTTTTACTAACGACCTACTAGCCGCAGAGCTAAATAATACGGAATAGAACTGCATTATTTCATTCGTACCTAACAAGTGTGGCAGTTATCTAAATTTGCATTAACCGCTCTTACTTGCACTGTTGTCGTAATCCAATTTTAATGCAATCAGTTCAGTCTTGCCCCTAACGTTTTAATTTTATCTAACACATTTTATTTTACTGTTTTTGCATGCTCTAAGGAATGCTGTCTTAATTCTATATTTCAATTTTATCAAAAACAAAAGCATGGCATCATTTTAGCTCGGCACATATTTGAGTCGAGGATTCCTTCCGTTTTACTCTTGTGTTAACTTAAGCGCTTTTGCTTTATAGGCTTCCTCTAATTTTTATTGCGTTGCCGAATGACTTCGAAGAACGCCGCCTTTGCGGCTCCCACCCATAAATTTAGATAGTTAAGCCCTGCTCTAATACCTTCGGCGTTTCTCTTTGCTTCCACTTTAAAAAATTGCTTTGCTGAACGCAATCTCTCCAAAACATGAAACGGTACTTCAAAATACTGCCTTCGCATCATCAAGCAGGAAAAAATTGAAAAACTAGCTAATTCCGTTACCTATATGCATATGAATGCAATTAATAAAGTATTTCTGACAAAGACAGTGGCGTATTCTTGCTGGTAACGGTTGTGCCGCAGTTGAATTTATTGCTTATGAAACCTAACACGAATAACATCAGTAAGGCTTTTGCAACTTTAAGTTCTTCTATCGGTGCAGATGGCCTGTGATAAGAATACTGCGGCTAGTGCAGGTGCGTAGGTGGAGGAAAGCTTTAAAGGATGGTGAATATCAGTGCATCAGTAGGATTCCATATGCCACAGGGATTGTACATGGGGTAAAATGATTTGACACTAACACCAGGTGAGTCCAAGACCTCTAACATCCGATGATATATGGCACTCCTTCTACATTCATTTTCAGTATCATAAGGGTTTAAACACCTACCATCATTTTACAGTCTCAAGTAAACTTTTTGACATTAAATGGTAACATTTACTTAGGAAATGGGCAAACGTAAACCCCTTTTCAAATTCGCTTCGTCAAATCAAGAGAGAGGGAAAAATTAGATCAAGGAGTAAAAAGGGAAGTAGGGGTCAGTCTCGTTGAATTTCCTGTTACTACAAGAAATGCATGGCGGAAATATTATGCAACGGAAGAAGAGGAGAAGGTGTTGGGGGACTCATGCACGCACACTCGCTGACCGATCGTACGGCTTGATGGCGCCAGCGCGCGTGCACATGGGATGTGGCTTGTTCAAAGCCACGATTCGGGATTCTCGGCTGGAGAAGGAACAAGACGACCATGGGCAGCTGAGCGGTCAACCCCAGCCGCACGGGTGAGTTGCGACCTCGCTGATTCTAACTGTCGATCCAATTTAGTAGCGTCATGAGGAGTAGCCGTGCCCATCTGCATAAAAGCCAGCGGACTCAACATTTGTTTTGTCTGATAGATTGAGTCCCGTCTTCGCTGTCGGTTTCAGCTTCCTCTCCCATAGTCAGACATAATGGGTACGACGGAAGGGAAGCAAAACATCATCATTGCCCTGAAACACAATCAAGCAAATTTGAGAAATTAAGCCATTACAATACATGTCCAAAATCTGTAGTTGAATTAATTTAGGACGTTCTCCGAAGTATTTAAAAATATTATAAATTAATGAACATGTATTTTTAATGAGAATAGCCACCCATTTTATAAAGCATTTCCAAAATAAATAAACTAACAAAATTTACACACTTAGATTACACTGAGAGAATAACTTCTTTCTTATAGTGATATAATATGGCAATCGAACCACCTCTTTCGCTGCTTTTGAGGCAATTTTACGCTGACAACTGCAAAATCATGAGCCGTTCGGTATAAGGAAAGAAATATTTTGAGTTCCAGTAGTTCAAGTTTAATGCGTTGGTTTGGAGAAACTCCTCATCAACTAATATTACTTATTTAGAGGAAAAGCGCTTTATGTATCAAATTTGTGTGGAGTAATTTTATAAATGAATTACAACTTTTGCACAATGCGGTTGCAGTAAACGTAATTATCCATCTTCCCGACTTTGCAACTGAAGTAGGGTTTAATATTAGTGCCTTGACAAAAACACGGGGTGCACAAGAAATATTCTGCTTTGGGAAAGTGCAATTAAAGGCAACGGATCAGTGAATGTCTTCCCATAAAAGCTCCCACTCCACTCTAAAATTGACATACACATAAAAGTTAAATAAAAATTTGCCATGCTAAAAGATAAAATTTAGGTTTTAGCAATTCTATGCTTAATAAAATTGGAGTTCCTAGCATAAAGGTTTTTCTTAAAGTTGATCACTTCATCTGCTTTATCCCTAGTAAAACGATAAGTCCTCTAAAACACAAAACAAACAGAAACACAGGCCCATTCCCACCTTTGGTGTAACTTGCGCCCATTGCAAACGGAATTTTTTATGAGAGACGCAATATGGAAGTGTCTGGTGTTGGTACTTTGTGGCACTTGAAGTAGACAATTATTGTGCAGGCCTTTTTTACGGTCTATATTAATGGTAGTAATAATAAGGCTACTGTAAAAATGCAGTATTTCGCTTGCTTCCATACGTGGGTGCTGAAGGTCTCAGCGTTCGCAAAGAACCAGGACCCTCGTAGCATAAACATGAAGGATAAGCTGGTGGGGCTTTGTAGGCAGAACCAAGTACTCCGCTGGTTAGTCACAGCGTCTGTTTCAGCCTAATCAAGCTATATTCCTATGCTGCGCTTGTAAATTGTTCATAAGTCGAGCTCTGATAAACCGATGGAACGATTCTCTAACATTAAATTGCATTAATCACTAAATATTGAACCTAGCTTAATGCATGTCGACTTTAGAACGCGAAAAGACGAGAACTACCACCGATCTAGAACAAGTAGCGTCCCAATTTTGT